TTTGACCCCTTGGTCAGAACTCCGGATTCTTTCTCTCATTTGAGTGAAATGTGATACTCCAAACATAGCTCTTTCAATTCCTCTTTGAGAGACCCAAACAGCGTTCTCATCCTGTTTTCGTAGGGCCCAGGTCTCTGAGGCATATGTTAATGCAGGAAGAACAGTGGAATCAAAGAGATGTGCCCAGAGCCGTTCTTCCTCCTCCTAGCTATTTCTTCGATGATCTTGAAGGCGCTCCAAGCCACTCTCTTTCTCCTGCGCAACTCAGGTGCCAGGTCATTCTTCATGTTGACTTGTCGACCTAGGTACACATAACTGTTGCATTCGGAGATGGTCGTTCCGTTGAGAGTGAATGGATCACCAGGAACGAGGCTATTTCTCATAAACATTGTCTTCATAAGATTCAGCTATAGTCCAACCTTTCCATACTCACGGTCGAAGTCAGCCAGCATTTGTATTGCTTGGCTAATGTTTGGTGTTATTAGAACAATATCACCAGCAAAGTGGAGGTGGTTTAGTTGCCGACCATCTATCTTTAACTCCCATTCCTTCCCATTCCAGTCGTCGCATGATGTTCTCGAGGGTGGCACTGAAGAGTTTCAGGTGAAATGGTATCACCCTGCCGAACCCCTCCCTTGACATCAATGATTACTTCTTTGTAGAATGGTGAGATCCTGGTAGTGAATCCATAATACAGCTCACGGAGAATCCTGATGTATTGAGTTTGAATGCACTGATTGGCTAGGGCTTCGATGACCGCTTCCAGAATCAAAGGCCTTCTTTAAATCAATGAACATTAGACAGAGTGGCATCTTGAACTCCCGAGAAACCTCAATGACCTTGGTTATCGTGTGGATATGGTCGATGGTGCTGAATCCTTTGTGAAACCTGGCTTGCTCACATGGTTGTCCTTCACCTAGTGTTCTCCCAATCCTATTCAGGATGACTCGAGTGAACAGCTTGTAGATGACAAGACAATAAGCGGATTGGGCGATAGTTGCCAATGTCGTGGATGTCTCCCTTTTTGTATAGTAGTACAGTTCTGCTGGTTTTCCATTGGGACGAAACCCTGCATTCAGACAGGTAGTGTGTGAAGAGCCGAGCCAGCATATTGATGAGTACTGACGGCAGGTTCTTCAGGTGTTCAGGTCTGACCTTGTCTGGGCCGAGTGCTGTTTGTTTCTTTACCGACGAAATGGCGTGTCAGATTTCGGAAGGGAGAACGTTGGGAACGACATATCCATCCTGTGGAATTTGGTATGTCGTCCACCAGGAGACTCCCATGTCCAACGTTTAGATTCGGCCTTCTGGAACTGTGAGTTACCATGGATGGTCTTGGTCGACATGATGAACTCAGGCAGTCTCTCACCCTGTTTGTTCTATTCTAGGCCATGGGTCCTGATGTGGAGTTCTTCGGCTGATTTTCTCGGTCCTATCTTAGCATTAAAATCACCAACAATGGGTATCTGATCATTGTATAATTGAAACCAAAGCACAAAAAATTGTAAATCTACAACTTTAAAAAAATAAAATAAAATAAAGGGAAAAAAAAAAATCACCAACAATGATCTTGTAGAAAGTGTGGTCTTCTTTATAGAACTTCTCTAGCTCCATGTAGAACTTCTCAATTTCTCCTTCATCAAAATTGGATGTTGGTGCATGGATCAATGAAGAAAGAAGCTGCCGGCAGTGAGCCACATCCATTCAGATATAAACATCCGATTCGGGTTGTTAGGCATTCAAATGAATCAATGCTCATGGCCAAGTTCGTGTTGACAAGGACACCGAGGCCTCTGATGCCTCTTTTATCGCATGTTCCAAGGAACAATTCTTCTCCAGTGTCGAAAATGGCATGATGTGACACATTATAAGACACTTAATATCCATCTTCCAGAATTGCCGCACCTTATTTGATAGGATTCAAATATGGTTTGAACCATGGGAACACCTACAAGAGCGATTAGAGGCTGCCCCAAAAGCCTCTATCCCTCTCAGAGAGCCTGGCAAGCTACCGAGAATATTCCTCCCGCACGGCAGAGCCTCGCAAGCTATCCGTTGTGTATTCTATATGCCAAAATCAGTAATTACAAAGGGGCTCATTCCCCTGATCCTGAAGGCATCACCAATACGGCAGCATTGAGAAGGATGAGAAAGTAGAGGCTGATAAAATCTCAAGGCCCAACTAGGCTGCCAAAATGAAGGAAGACAAAAATGATTGTCTGTACTTTCAATGCACGGATACATCCATCGAGGACCTGATGGTACAGGCGTGAAAGATCAAGTACGACATCATTGGTCTGACTGAGACAAGAAGGCACCAAAAAAAAATTTACAGTTAAAAATATTTTGTTGTTACTGTGTCACTTCCATTGAGTCTTTCCTGTTAAAGGTTTTTTCAGGGGCTGGAGTGATAGCACAGAGGGTAGGGCAGTTGCCTTGCACATGGCTGACCCAGGTTCGATTCCCAGCATCCCATATGGTCCCCTGAGCACCACCAGGAGTAATTGCTGAGTGCAGAGTCAGGAGTAACCCCTGTGCATCGCCGGGTGTAACACAGTAAATTAAGGGTTTTTTTCACCCAATAAATACCATATAAACAATTTTATAAGAAATCCACGTAGGGGCTGGAGCGACAGCACAGCGGATAGTGAGTTTGCCTTGCACACGGCAGATGCGGGTTCAATTCCCAGCATCCCATATGGCCCCTGAGCACTGCCAGCAGTAATTCCTGAATGCATAACCCAGGAGTAACCCCTGTGCCTCGCCGGGTGTGGCCCAAAAAGAAAAAAAAAAAAAAAGAAATCCACATAATTAACAAAGGTTTATCAAAGTTTATATAACTATTTCTGATAACTGCATTTTTTGTTCTTTTGGCGTTAAAATATCAAAAACTTTCACTGAAAGGATTATAATGTACCTTAAAAGGTTTTAAATATTGAAAATTTCATATCCTATTTTCTATTTCCTCAAATAAGCCCTGTGCAATCTATTTTCTGATAATAAATTCACAACTCATGAGAACAAAGCCAAAGTAGTACTACTATAATAAAAGGAAAACACATTAATACAAAATAAAACATTTTAAATGGTCCTTAAATTTTGTTTAGAACAAAAATTTCCAATACCTCAACTTCTTTCTCCGAAAGCAAATGTTTCCTACATGCACATTGCCCCATGCCTTAATTTTGTTTTCTTTAAATATATGCTACATCAAACCATGCTATAACAAGTAACACCATTTTTATAAAACAACCTTTTCTTAACTATAGCTTCTAAGAAGTGTGCCATCAACACTAATTTGCTGTCAGGATCTTGGTAATTTTTCTTTTCTTTACTGAAAATAAAGCTATATGGACAGATATCTAAATCCCCTTCTGATCCAACTAATTACATCTAGATGTTGTTTTGAGCTTTGACTGAGCTAAAGAAAATAAAATTTTCAATCATGGGTACTAAAAACTTGGAATTAAAATATGGAGAACCACCAATTCTATGTTTTATGAAGCAACATTCACTATCAGTATTTCCTAGCCCTCTGGGAGAGACCAGCAAACTACCAAGAGTATCCCACCCGCACAACAGAGCCTGGCAAGCTACCCATGGCGTATTCAATATGCCAAAAACAGTAACAATAATGAGTCTCATTTCCCTGACCCTGAAAGAGTCCCCAATACACCACTAGGCTACACTATCACACGACACGGATGGATGGAGATGTTACTGGCACCCGCTCGAGCAAATCAATGAATAATGGCAAGTGACAAGTGATGACACTACATTCACTGAGGATTTATTCTATTCTTTTCTTTTGTTTTTAATAATTCCATCAAAATTCAAGAAAGTATATTTTTACTTTAAAAATCATAAAGAGCGGGTAAGTCATTTTGCCTTGCATGCGACCCAGGTTCGATTCCTCTGCCCCTCTCAGAGAGCCCGGCAAGCTACCAAGAGTATCTCGCCCGCAAGGCAGAGCCTGGCAAGCTACCCATGGCATATTTGATATGGCAAACACAGTAACAGTGTCACAATGGAGACGTTACTGGGCCCGCTCGAGCAAATCAATGGACAGTGACAGTGACAGTGACAGCATTAGGTCAACGTTAATTTCCTTCATCTGGATACATTTTGGTAGGTTTTTTTTGTAAGCGAAATCTAAAATATTTTTTGCAAAGACATTTAATTCTATCTAATACTCTTAACCTCATCACATTTTGTAATTAGAATAGCTTTAGGCTGGCAATAGGCCAAATGTTTTGGAAGTGATTAGCATAACAGAGCTCCACTTACTGATTTTTAGTTACTATGCATAAGAATACTTAAAAGAGAAATATAATAACAATTCATTCTGAGATTGGCAATCAATTTGCACATACGCATCTAAGAATATTCTCTGCTGAACATTCTAATAGCTTATTCTGTAAAATTTACTTTGTTGTGTTTTGTTTTGGAGCCACATCTGGCTGTGCTCAGGACTTACTCCTGCCTCTGCACTCACAGAATCACCCCTCGAAGGGTCTCAAGGGATCTATGTGGTGCTGGGAATCAAATTCCAGTCGGTCTTGTGCAAGGCAGGTAGGTGCCTTACCAGCTATATTATCTCTCTAGTCCTAAATTTACCTCTTAACACTTGAATAAAAAACTCAGTAATATCTACATAGTTAAAGAAATTCAGACAATATATCCTTAATAAGTAAAACAAACCAAAAGTATAAAGGGATAATACAAAGATAAAGCTATATTTTCTCAACTTTCTGACTCTAAACCAAATATCTGGTTATTCATTATTTAGCTTTAAAAAGAAATCCTAAAATATAGACTCTCAAATTGTCCAAGAAAACATAAAAAGGTGGTTTCCTATCAGAGTTCCCTTTATACAGGTATAATTTTCACTACAAACATTTTTACAAATCAGTTAAAAACTTGATAATAATGCTTTTTTTCAAATGCTAATGCAAATTCAAATGCATTTCTAATTAAGAATTAGCATAAAGCTTATTTACCTTGGTTTGGCTGCATATTCATATTTGGTCTGGGACCATAATTTCCCATTGGTTGCCCTTGACTCATTGTCATCTGATTCTGTACTGGCATGCTCTGTGACGATGGCACAGAATGGTTGTAACCTCCCATGGATCCATGGCTACTTGAAGGCATGTTCATGGAACTGTTTGTCATACTGAGTTGATTGGGTCCAGGTCCCTGCATAGGCATATGGTTAGGCCCTTTGAAAAGAAGTGATTAGAACCAAAATAGGAAGGTTAAATAGATGATCTTTACAAAAATAACTTCGTAAGCTTTTCTTTTCTTTTATTACTATAATAATAAATACTTAATAGTCAGCAAAATAAACGTTTTACATAAATTAGAACAAATACTAATTGGGTAGCATGAGCACAAAAAAAATGATTAAGAGATCAATGTAATTATAGTCTAAAAAACAGACCTAAATGTGGCCCAAGAGATAGAACAGCAGGTACAGCAAGCACTGAGATAGAACTGCTTTGCATGCAGTCAACGGTTCGATCCCTAACACAACTAGGAGTGATCCCTAAGTGTAGAGCCAGGAGTAAGCCTCAGTGAGCACTGTTGGGTGTAGCTGCCCAAAAACCAAACAAAATAGTAATTTCAAAAAAAGACTTAAATGCATAATTTAGTAAATGGTAATTTTGGCCATGTTAAGCATCAGTGGGTAAAAAAAAAATGCAATGGTGTTATGACAAGTAAGCAGTCATCTGGGAAAAAACATTGGATCCCTATATCTCACTCCTTCCATCAAAATTAACTTTAGATGAATAAAAAATAAAAAAGAAGAAAAATAAAGAAGCAATAGAACAGAACTTCAAAAAGAATTTTTTATTGGATAGAAAGGCTTCTTTAATACACAAAACTCAGAATACAAAAAAATAAACTAGTATACAAAAAAAATCTTTCAATGACCATTAAAAACTAATGTAAATGAAAAATGAACTGAGAAAAATTTATGAGTTAATATAATTGAATATAAAAAATAAAAGACCACTAGTAGTTAAAAAAAACAGATATGTGACTGGAGCGATAGCACAGCAGGTAAGGCCTTTGCCTTGCACACCGCCGACCCGGGTTCGATTCCCAGCATCCCATATGGTTCCCTGAGCACCACCAGGAGTAATTCCTGAATGCAGAGCCAGGAGTAACCCATGTGCATCCTCGGGTGTGATCCAAAAAGAAAACAAAACAAATAAAAATAAACCAGACATGAGCAATCCATGGGAAAACTACAAAAAGTGATACCTGCAAAGTACTTGTTTCAATTCAATTCAAAACATAAATTTAAAATGTTAAGAAGCCAAAAGATCATGATCTATACAGCCAGAGCAATAGCACAGTGGGTAGGAAGCTTATCTTGCACACATCCCACCATATAACCCCTGAGCACCAATAGGAATGATTCCTACGCACTGAGCCGTAAGCAAGCACCACTGGATGCAGCCCAAAACACACACACAAGAAAGTTTTGATCAAACCTTATTATGAAGAAGCACTTTCATGTACTATTGAAACTATTTACAAAGAGCAATTTTACAAATAGCAATGTGTCAAAACATACTGTTTTTATATGTACATATTTTTAACTCTCCAAATTTTAATTTAGTACAACTTTATTCATAAATATAAATTATATGTGTAAATTTTAATATTAGCTATATATAAATATCTGTAGGGTGTTTGCCTTGCACGCAGCCGACCCAGGTTCGATTCTTCTGCCCTTCTCGGAGAGCCCGGCAAGCTACCGAGAGTATCCCACCCACACAGCAGAGCCTGGCAAGCTACCTGTGGCATATTTGATATGCCAAAAACAGTAACAAGTCTCACAATGGAGATGTTACTGGTGCCTGCTCGAGTGAATTGATAAACAACAGGGGGACAGTGCCACAGTTACATATAAATATAAATATATAAATATAATAGAATGTTCTAATACAAATAGAACATTGACATTCATGCATGTATGCAAATGTGTGTGCTTGTTTATATGTAAATAAACACATACATGCCTGTAAGTTTTTTTTAATTTTTATTTTGGTTTTTGGGCCACACTCAGCTTGGTTCTAGGGGCTCACTGCACCATGTTTGACCCAACAGGGTTGGGGGACAAAAGCAGGGGCTCCCACGTGCAAACTACACACTCCAGTCTGTTGAGCTATTGCTGCAACCCAAAGCAGCATGACTTTTAAAGCCCAAAACCTGCAACATGTATGCCAATACATAGTATGTTTGTTTGACGGCCACACCTGGCAGTGCTTAGGGCAAAATCATGGCTCTGTGCTCAGGATTCACCCCTGGCAGTGCTTGGTGTACCATATAGGATACTGAGGATGGAATCCGGGCTGTGTGCAAGGCAAACACTCTACTCTCTGCTCCTGCCCTGCCCCAACAACCTATATTTCTTTAAGAGAACTGTACAAATAGATAAAAGACACCCATTAAAGAGACTGTAATGCAATCACACACACACACATACACGCACACAAAAGAAAAAAATGAGGCAACTCTTTATATGCTGAATAAGCTCCAAAACACATCTTCATATATTCACAATCTCTTAACATCTACAGAAAAGAACGTTCCCTGAGCACAAAGCCAAAAATGGCCCATAAGATGTGGGGGTGGGGGGTCAAGGGTGGGTGTATGAGGGTGGGAGTATGAGCTAAATGCTGTAAGGAACTTAATTTAAAAAAAAATAGGGGTCAAAGGGATAGCACAGTGGGTAGTGAACTTGCCTTGCATACAGTTGATAGGGCTGGATCCCCAGTACCAACCCAGTCCCCCAAGCCCGACCAGGAGTGATTCCTGAGCAAAGAGCCAGAACTAAGCCCTGAGCACAGCCTGGTGTGCATCCCCCACCAAGAAACAATAAAACAGAGAGAAAATATAAGTTATTAGACTTCCAATATATAATTGTAACAAAGTATAAACTGCTTTAGAAACTGAAGTATTACCTAAGTCATAATTGGTCAAAAGTTCTATAGGCTAATTAAAACTATGAACTATGCCAAGTGATCTAACAATAAAACAACCATCATGCTAACAATAATTACACTGTTGCTCAGTTGTTTCTTCAATATGCAGACTTGAATGTTACATGAAGAGGTTGGGTCAAAATCCCAATTAATGAGGGGCCCAGAATGGCTCAATGGTAAACTGTCTGCTCTGCAGCCATGAGGCCACCAGTTCTACCCCTGGCACTACCCCCAATATCCTGGCAGCACTGCCATTTGCCATAGATCCCCGGTACTAGAACAAAAAAGTGAGCACTCTCCAGAGCACAGCAACTGAGTGTGAACAGTGCACTCACCAAGCACTGCAGCCAAGCATGCAAGCACAACAACCACATGTGACCTCTGGCAAGGACTAAAAGTGAAGTTTGGACAACCCCAACTAAAGTGTGTGAGCACCACAACCAAGTGTCTGACTCCCAGTCATGGAAATAACAGTAACAAACAGAAGGAGACGTTCTAATTAAAGGTACCCCTGGATGTGCTGTGAACACTTTAAGCATGAAACTCCATCATTCACAGTATTGTTAGTCATGGTGCTAAATAAAAAAATAAAGAAAAATAAAATTTAAAAGGTACATGTATAGAGTCACAAATTCCTAACTGCTAACTAGCATTAGCACTACCCTTCCGATTCTCAATGTGTTCTAACGATAGAACACATTGTAGATTCAGCAAGAAGCTCCCCCTTGAGTAAATTAGAACAGCTATTTGTCTCCATTCCTACCCCCACACAGAGTATGGCTCGGTGTTAGCAAGAAACAGGAGGCAGTCACAGAAACGCCGTTGCCTTTCTACGTGATCAGCCGTGTATCCATCTCCTATAACCAGACTGCCTGGCTTCCTGTGCTTTGGGCTCTTTTAGGCTTTTTCTACATCCACTTAGATGTTTAGAATGGGTGCAGATTACTAGTTCTAAAATTAAATTCCCCTGTTATTTTAACTTATTATTTGGATAATACTTTTAGTTAATAAATATAACCTACGTCTTTATAAAGTAAGAAGATTCCCACACTAAATTAGAAAGCATCCATCAAAAGAGAGTACAGGTTGCACCTGATGTTGCAAATACAAAATAGCCTAGTGGCTTTTTTAATTCAAAACTATAATAAACAAAAGGTAATTAAGTCAGTATCCAATGCCCGAATGACACCCTAAGTAGCTCTAAATTTTAAAATGGATCAATAGTAAAGAGAGTGACTCATAACATTAAAAAACAGACATCATTTCTCAGCTTTTAATTTTGCCTTACTATGAATTTCTGTATTTATATTATGCTATAAACATAAGCTGAATCTATCTTCAACTTCAACAGTATCAATGATGAAATACTAAATACACAAGCACATTAGGGATTGTTTTATTTCTTTTTCCCGTGTGTTTTTCCCAGTAATAACAGTTCCAAAGATCAATAAAATTATAAGTGCAAAACTCAGGGAACGGCTATAATACCTTTTTATAAGCAGGTTTTAATTCTTAAGCCATGGTGCAATGCCATTTTTCTCAAAAGCTTCTAAAGCCAGCTGTATTGCATAGTTTCAGACAGACTAAATTTAGCCAGTTCTGTTCATCAGAGGAATGCTGTGTGTCAGCTACATCAAAGCCCAAGGGCAGCCTGATAAACACTGAATACAGGTCACGTAGCTCTGTAGCTAACAAACTCTAAGAGAGCTTGTACTCGGGGGCATTCAAAGCAGTTTTGTCATCAACAATCTAGTATCCCTTGAGCCCCCATGTCGTTTCAGTTGCTAAGCAACTCTGGTGTTAATGTCTTAGAGGAGAAAAACTTACCAGGCATCTGGCCGTTCATCTGGTTCTGCATGTGTGGTGCAGGAGGACCCCCACCTACCATTCCATCTGAAGGCATGTTGTGAGAGCGGGGCGGTGGGGGAGGGCCGCTCTGATTCATCCCTCCAGGACCCATAGGCATATTCTGTGTGGGTGGCTGCAAGAAGACAGTTTAGTAAAACAAGAGAAACAGTTAAGCAAATATATTAAAGATACATATGGTGTAACAGTTGTCTATATTATTAAATTGGACAGGAACAAAAACACAAATATATTTCAGTTTATACTAATGCATTTTAATCCTGGACTTAACATATTTAATGTCCAAACAATGTCACCTAATCACTAGCATATATCATCTCACCGTCTTAGTCCAAAGGAACACAATCAGAATATTTTTCTCTATAAGATTTGGATAGTGAAGATATTTTAACACTACACAAAAAAGATTTCTCACTTATTTACATATAAGAATTGCAGTTATTGTTTAAGTTGGGCTTTTAAAATGTAGTCGTCTCTTCATGAATATTATTTATATATTTACTACAAAAAATGGGTTTTTCCTGAAAAATACAGTATAAGAAACAAGCAAGATTCAAAAGCCCCAAAATATGATATATTTTGAAGAGTAGTTTTGATATTTTATACTGTTTGAGAGAAGGGAAGCTTTTTTGGGCAGAGGAAATGTTTTAAATGATGACAACTGAGTTCAGCTCAACATTTGTGCCGACTACTCCTATAGATTGGAAACATTACTGATGGCCTCCAAGGGTACAGAGACAGCTGCCTCAAAAGGATGCCTTTGGCAAGTTTCCTAATGAAAGTGTGAAGAAAATCTCTGCCTAACCTTGAGAGTGCACAAAAGGGCGAAAGGAAAAACACAGATACAAGGTGGTCTGTGCAACACCTGGCTCCCTTCCTGGGGAGATTCGGGTAGAGGAAGCAATGGTTATTTGCCTTCCAAACACCCTTCCTAAAAGGCTGCAGGAGGACAGGGAAGGATTATCCTCTATAGATTTGTGTCTGCCTTTTTTTCTATTCCTGTGTGTCCTAAACATCATATTCATTTAAATAACATCATTCTTTTCCACTTACATTTTTGGACACTCGCTTGCAGTTGTACCTATCCTGGTTTTGTGAACACAATCCTCTCTAGGACACTTACAGATATACAATGCTCTTGAGCCATCACGTGTAAATACTGATAACTGCAACCATTGAACAACCACTAACATTTAGAGAAATAAACCGACTGCTATTCTAAACAGCACCCACTTCAAATTCACTGTCCTAATTTCTGTCCTACTAGATCCAGCAGTAATTGCTCTTAAATTTTTTCTTTTCAATCCTAACCATACATTAACCCAATTTGTATTCTTTAAACACCCAGATCAATTTTCAAAACAAATTACCAAACATCTACCCAAGTGTCACCTATCTTTTTATTATCTTTCAAACACAATGTCCTTTTCTCTTCTGTCTGAAAGTAAAACTCCTTTCGCCTAGATTTCTGTAAAAATTTTCTATTGAAAATTCATATTCTCTCAAGTAGCAGGTTTTCATTTTCTTGTGATTTAATTTTTTAAAAATTAGTATTCATGGTTCTCCTAAGACATCAGTGTCTATCAAATTCTAAAATCTAAATAAATACTAAATCAAAATCTAAATAAATACAAAATACTATTTGAATACTCTTAAGAATATTCTTAAGATTAATACACAAAAAGAGAATAGGAGGAGGGCTCCAACTCTTGGAAGGACAGACAGATAAGCGAGATGAACACCTTGCCTTTTTCCTTGATTTCCTGAAATTTCCTGATTTCCTAAAAGGGAAATAGCATCCAGGTAAAAGCAGAAGTCCTACTGGGATATGAGAATTGAGTTCCTAGCTTCTAGAGAGCTGTAAATTAAGAAAGAACCACAAGTAGAGGGGGAAATTCAAGAAAACGAGAGAGAGAGAGAGCGAGAGAGAGAGAGAGAGAGAGAGATACTAGAACACAGATGAATCTAAAAAAGACTTCTAAGAAAAAGTTAAGATTGCAAAAACTACATGTATAATTCCATTTATACGCTGTAACAGTGAAATCTGTATCACTGTATCACTGTCATCCCGTTGTTCATCGATTTCCTCGAGCAGGCACCAGTAATGTCTCCTTTGTCCTAGCCTGAGATTTTAGAAAGTGCCACATTCGAGACTCTTTCAGGGTCAGGGTCAGGGGAATGAGACCCATCATTGTTACTGGGCTTTGGCATATCAAATACGGCACAGGGAGTTTGCCAGACTCTGCCGTGCAGGCAGGATACTCTCGGTAGCCTGCCGGGTTCTCCAAGAGTAAGAACTAGATAATAATAGATATCATAATAGTATGATATCTAGAACAGGTAATTCCAAGACTCAAAGATGAAACACTGCCCGATCATGGGAAGAATCAGTTCTGTCAACAGGTACAAGGGTTTCTTAGAAGGGTGATAAAAATGTTCTGAAATTAAATAGTGAAAATGGATGTACAGAGTGAAAATATACTGAAACCCACTAAATTGTAAAAATGGGAATTTTTGTGATTTTTTTAGCCTAATTTACTTTTTTTGGTGGGGCTAGGAAACAGTCATACCAGGTGGTGCTCAAGGACCACTTCTGGTGGTGCCCAAGGGACCCTATGCAGTGCCAGGGGTTAAACAATGGTAGCCTGCATACAAGGCAGTACCTTAAACTCTGAACTCTCTAGCCCCAATACAATTTTCAAAGAGAAAAATTATAACCACTATATTATCGGTCTGGCATCCACAATTTAAATTAAGTTTAGCTGGTATTTTCAAGATAAGGAAAGGGCTGGTAGCTGAATAGAGAGTACAGCAGGCAGGATGTTCGCTTTGCACACTTCTAACCCAGGTTTAATCCAGCACTGCCAGGAGAGATCTTGGAACACAGAGCCAAGAGCAAGCCATGAGACCCACTGGATGTGGCCTCCCAGGAAAACAAAATCAACTTTGGCCCATGGATTATTTTTTTAATTTAACAAGATCATCACGGTCCTCCCGTTGTTCATCGATTTGCTCGAGCGGGCCCAGTAACGTCTCCATCGTGAGACTTGTTTTACTGTGTTTGGCATATCGAATACATCACAGGTGGCTTGCCAGGCTCTGCCGTGCGGGCGAGATACTCTCGGTAGCTTGCCAGGCTCTCTGAGAGGGGCAGAGGAATCGAACTCGGGTCAGCCATATTGGCTGCTTGTAAGGCAAACGCCCTATCGCTGTGCTATCGCTCCAGCCCATTTAACAAGATATTAGTTTTAAATTTAAGGGTACAAATATGTCAAAAGAAAGTGATATGAAAACAGATATACCACATAAACACTATCAAAAGTACAAGGTATCATGCCAGAGTGATAGTACAGCAGGTAAGGCATTTGCCCTGAACATGGCCTACCTGAGTTCAATCCCAGGCACCACAGTATAGACCTGAAGCCCTGCAAGGACTGATCCCTGAACAGTCAGAAATAAGCCCTGAGCACACTTGGGTGTGGCCCAAAAAAAAAACAAACAAAAGCATGAAGATTATCAATATGTTTATTTTACAAGTCTATAAACTAAAGCTGATAGTCAAAGAGATAGTACAGCAGATGAGGCATCTGAATTGCAAACAGCCAACCCAGCTTTGATACCTGGGATCAGGTATGATTCCCCAAGAACCACCAGGAGTGATCCCTGAACGTAGACCCAAGAGCAATCATGGACACAGCTAGGTGAGACTCAAAATAAACAACTACACACACACACACACATACACACACACACACACAATTTTAAAACAAGCAAAAATGACATCAGAAAATTTGGGAAAACCATTGTATTCTTCTACACCTTTATCTTTTTTGTATCTGAAGGAGGGGCACACCTTTCAGTGTTCCGGGGCTATTTCCAGCTCTGTCTGAAGGCATGTTTCCCAGTGATGTGCAGGGAACCACAGTGCTAAGGATCAAACCAAGGCCTCCTGAATGCAAAGGATATATTCAGCCTGCATGTATCTACACCTACCCTGTAGTACCTGACCTACCCTTGGAGTATCTCTCCAGCTCTATTTTAAATTTTAAAAAGAACCAGAATATCTCTTCCATCATTTCCTCCTTAGTTTTACTCTCATTATTTCTCACCTCAAGATCACATGTACAATGACTTCATTTTTACTAAATCCAATAAATATTTGATCACAGTTTACCTGTGGTCTTTTCTGTTTAATACAAAAGTTTTAGAGATCACCTTTAATTTTATAGCAGAATATCAGGTATAAGAAAAGAACATTTTAGAGATCAGCAGTGGTAGGTGAAGGAAAAGGAAAAAATTTGAGAACAACATGTTTGTAGCTAAAAGAACTATGCATATGGGAGCCCCAATTCGTTCCCCAGAACCGCAGACTTCCATGCAACACACCAGGAGGAGCCCCAAGCACAACTGGGTGTGGCACAAAAACAAAAAGGCACGTTTGTGGGGGCCAGAGCAATAATACAATGGATAGGGTTGCACACGGCCAAGCCAGGTTAGGTTAAATCCCCATCATCCCACGTGGTCCCGAGCACCACAGGAGTAATTCCTGAGTGCAGAGCCAGGAGTAACACCTGAGCACTGCCAGGCATATCCTTAAACCAAACAAACCGGAAAAAAAAAAAGAGGAAAATTTAAAATACAAATCTTTCTAAGTAAAATGAAATTTAAAACCAGAAAAGTAGAAACTTCCTCAAAGAAGAAATACAAATAGCCAAAACGCACATGAAAAAATGCTCTGTATCAATAATCATCAGGGAGATGAAAATCAAAACAACCATGAGATCAACTCATGCCACAGACATGGCACACATTAAAAAAGAACAAGAGGAGGCTGGAGTGATAGAACAGCAGGTAGGGTGTTTGCCTTGTCAACCTGGGTTTGATTCCCAGCATCCCATATGGTCCCCAGAGCACCGCCAGGAGTAATTTCTAAGTGCAGAGCCAAGAATAACCCCAGTGCATCACCGGGTGTGACCCAAAAGCAAAAAATAAGAACAAGAACAGTGCTGGCATGAATGGGGGGACATAAGGACTCTCATTTATTTCTAGTGGGAATGCTGACTGGGTCAGCATTTTGGGGAAACAATATTAACATTCCTCAAAAAGGTCATATTG